ACAAATATCATTACCAATTGTAAAAAAAAAATTCACTTTAATGGACAATTTCCATATAAAATAAAGTCAAACGGATACTAAACTTTGATGAAAAAAATGATTTTTTAGGAAACAATTTTTTTTTTTTACTTTTTGGCAATGGAAACAAATTTTATAACCAATTGTGGAAAAAAAAATTACTTTAATGGACAATTTTCATGTAAAACAAAGCCAAACGAATAGAAAATTTAAAAATTTTTCGGGTGGAAAAGTATACCAATCAAACACACTTGAAATCATTTTCCCTGCAAAATATTTTCTAAGAAATTTTTTTCCCTGTAAAACATTTTCTTTCCACCCTTGCAATCAAACGCACCCTTAGTGTCCTACTACTTATTTTCATAACCTGAAAACCAAATCAAAATTTGGGATTTTGAATCCCAAAGTCTACTACCTCATTGCCAATGTAAATCCCTCTCCTTCAAGTGAACAAAATTCAATCTTCGAGGTCTTACTTGATACTAACTGGAAGCAAGTCGAGTACTCTGCCCTAGTGAATAACATCACTTTGGTTCTTGTTCATTAAAATGATTATATGCATGTTGTGGATAACAAATGGGTTTTTAGAATTAAGCATAAAGCTAATGGAACTATTAAGTGTAGGTGTTCAAAATTAAATCCAAATAAATAACTTCCTATAATTTCTAGTTGACCTTTTACATGATGTGATTCGACAATTGTTGAATGTATAAACTAGCATTTCGTATTTACCGATTAGAAGGATTTATTCCTAGTCCCACAAACACTTCATGGTGGGGTGCACTCTCTTCCACAATTGATTCGAATCCTAGAGAACTAATCAGCCAGTGTCTCAAGAATCATATTCTTTGCTTCGTATCTACACCTTTTAATTCTTTAAAAAATGCATCTTGTAGATGTGAAAACATGTATATTTCACATCAGCACACAAGATTAAAAGAACATAGACAAATTCCTACCAGATATGTCAGCCTCAAATACGTAACAAAACCATATATATATAAAAAAAAAAAAAACCTCAGATTTAAGCCTTCAATTCATCTTCCGGGATTCTGTTTTGATAATCAGCTGATAGCACCATGAGTGGCACATATGGTAATTTTACGCCACGAGAAAATTGGCAGCGTACATGGGATGAATGGAACGTTTGGCAACCATATCTAAGAGACTCTCGACCAGCATGGAGATCTCTGGTTAGTGCCCCCACAAATTTAAGTTCTTTCCTTTTTAAATTTTTCTTAGCTGCATTTATCATGGTGTGGTGGTGATTTCCTCAACATATATACGAAGAAGCTAGTAATTGAAAATATAATCATTTTTATTCCCTGAGAGAATTGGCAGGCTGAACTTGGCGATTGGAATGAGTTGCGGCCATTTTATACAGACTCTGGTCTGGCAAGGAGAAGTCTGTTTTTTATCCTACATCTTTAAATACTTGTGTCCATGAAGCAGCTAGTAAAAAACAATTATTATTGATTTAAAATCTTCCAGTGTGTTTACTCTAAATCAAAGCTTCATTGTTTTGATCTGTATCTAGTATCGTCGAGCACCTGCACCAGATCCACGGTGGTTGTTCGAGGACAGGCCTACAGGACGACCTTCTGGCTTAGCCAGGTATGATCCCCTGCCCTAAGTAACAAGTTTAGGACTTAACATTAGGAATAATCGTCCTTTTTGTGTCGATCAATCATGAAGAAGCAACCTGGAAATGTCCTAATTAATCTTGGTTTGTCGAAAATTTCAGAAAACATGAAAAATTGATTATTATTTTTTTCATTAGAAGATCGTGCACCAATTTTTTTTCATAGCCTTAGTACGACTACGACTGTTATACACAATAAATTAACTAAAAATTCTGTTCCAAATTGATAAAATGAGTTTATCTGAATTTGATTAATCATTACTCAAAACGATTTTAACAAAAAGAAAATTGATCAGAATGAAGGATAAAAGCATAAGAGGGTGATCGAGTAAGACAGATTGATGCTGACAAAAGTCCACTTCCTTTTGCAGTTCTTCATCACCAGCGCCAACGCATTCTCCTGAGCGATTTCTAATTGGAAATGATACATCAAGAAATACCTATTCAACGTACAGACAGCCAGTACCTGATTCTCCTCCAAGCTACTATGAGCCACGATACTCGCCACCCTCTGAGCTAGAGTCAAACTTTACAAAAGAAGAACAAGAAAAGGCCTTGAATAAGCTGAGAAAAGTAATGATTAATCCGCATCTGAGTAATATAGTAAGGAGAATGGGAATGAAGTATAAAACCGATGGCAAAAACCAATCCACCGGAAGTGGTAATTTTCAGGACGAAGATGGCAAAAGGTGCTCCATTTGCTTGGATGATTTCGACTCTAAACAGTTTGTGATGCTCACTCCGTGCAATCATATGTTTCACGAGGATTGCATTGTGCCATGGGTGAAGAGTCAAGGGAAGTGCCCGGTTTGTAGATTTGTGATTTCTGAACGAAATGCATCGTCAGAAAACAATAGCAGGCGCGCTGCACTTGAACGGGAGTTGATGTCATTTATATGGGAATTCAGAACTCTTTGAGGAGAAATCCAAGACAGCCTAATTACGAACTAAATGTTCATCTAAAATGAAAGGAAAAATCGAAAAAAATGTATGATACATATGTTAAAATACTGGCTAGTTGCCATTGTTATTCCTGTCAAGGATTTACAGCTCCCAAAGATATGAAAGTAATATAAGCAATAATTATTTTCAGTGTTTCTTTTGAACCACCTCATAGAAAAACTTAAACTATTAGAGTGGCGACAAACTTATTTATCTAAATTATGTCTTGAGCATGCCCCTCACGAGCCAGATCCATTTATATATTGTCAAAGACTTAATAGTTACATAATTATATCACCATTCTCAGATTTGTTGTCAAACACTATAATTTAACCTGTGAAAACTGCTGAAAATTCGTCTCATATAAACTTAGGTCGAACACTCAATTGTACGGACTGCACAAGATGCGGCAAAGGTATAGGCCACTGCTCTTTAATTTGGTGCTATTTCTTGAAAATCCGGGATTGGACATGTGAATTACTGGCAGTGGTTTGTGATAGATACCTATGAAACATGTGAAATAAAATTTAAGCTTTTTTAAACATGCTCTCAGTAGGAATTGACGTTAAATCCATAACAAGATCTTCGTTAATTCAATATGTTGAAATTTACATGGTGACTGCTTGGAAATCCAATACAGCAATATCCAGTTCGATCCCATTCGAATAAAAAAATGATCCGACCCAAGTACCAATGGAAATTCTACGGACAGAGCTGAAAGATTCCGTTTACAGCGACATAATCGAATCGAACCGGACTCACAGGTTGTTCCTTGTCCCAATCTTGTTCCTTTTCTGCTTCAAAGGTAAAAAAAAAATTGTAGTGTGTATATTTTCTTGCTTCACTTTCATGCTTTCTTTTTCGGTGACAGAAGTGATTAAATATAAATTCATATAAATTAATCTAATTATTGACTAATGAGTGAATATAAAATATAATCTTAAAATCAAATTAAAATTCAGTTTATAGCTAGACTCAGCAAAACCACAAACTCTATCCACAAGCTTGAGATCAAAAAAGCCTTCAAATCTCATTCACCAATCAATGAAACATTCACTCGATAGACATGAGATTTCTCGTAATTGACGAAAACTGAGAAAATAACGTGCAGAATGGGTGCACTTTCAACCCAAATCCATCTTCTCAAACTCCCTTTAAGATTAAGTTCTTCATGTGAACTGGTCACACCTTCATATCTGTGTCTCCTTCAGGTAAGTTGTAATGCCTTTTTCACACGGTATGAAACTGTATAATTTGATTTCCATTTTTGTAGTGTGTTTTCAATTGGATTATAATCTCCTGCGGTTTTCCCTAGTCCCATTTCAGAAAACAGTTTTTTTTTATTTTTCTCATCCAAACATAGTTCATTTGTTAGAGGCCAATTTTGGAGTAGACACTTTCTTAAACTCCGTCAAGCTCGACGACTAAGAAATAATGCAGGTAAACTGATTGGGGAAGTGCTATGTGTACATAGGTGTATACATAGGGGATGACGTAATTTGATTTTGAATTGTTAACTGATAGTGATTTGTGGTGTTGGAACTGGGTTGTGGGAATGGTAATTGCAATGGCGCTGTTGGTGGAAAGGAGGAGCTTGGTGGCGTCCCTGCTCAAATATAAAGGTTTTATTAAAGAAATGAAAATGTCAAAAAAATGTAGCTTTTGATTGCTTAATCATATTCTAGAAATGAGATTGACTACATCAAACAATGCCTTTAATACAAAGACTTCCTCTCTCTGTTAGTCATTGAATATAATTAATATCACATGCAAGTGAACAGAGAGGCGCAATTTCCTCATAATGGGAAGAAAAATTGTGGTTTGTGGGGTCTTTGCCTGCCACTGAAATTCCATGAATGGTGGAATCAACTTTAAAAAGTTTTAACACTGCAGTAGCAGTCAATTTTCAAGTGTGAAAACGTATGATTACGAGAATAATATCAACTTTTAGGAATCCATGTCAAAGACGGTGGCATGAAGATGGAATTATGGAATTTGATTAAACAAACTTTACTCTTTGGGGTGGTACAACGTATATACACTTTATTTTCGTCATCTACTAAAAGGTGGAAAATTCTCAAAGAGAATGCAAATGGTCTTACCCTTAAGCCTTTGTCACAAACTCGTTGGGAAAGCCATAT